AGCTGACTTCCATTTCGAGTGGAAGTGTTGCGTGAAGAGATTCGAAGCTCGGTTCCACCAGAAGATGGCGGCTGATTCATCATATGCGAAAAAAAAGTTGGGTTTCGAGCAATCTCTTGTTTCATAATTGTCGAGCTGACTTCCATTTCGAGTGGAAGTGTTGCATGAAGAGATTCGAAGCTCGGTTCCACCACCAGAAGACAATGACGGATTTCTTTTGACCAGCCGTCGTTTGGCTTAACTGGAAGATTCATGCTGACGGTGTTTCCGAGCAATCTTGTTCGATTCCGCTGAGCAGGTGCTAAGCTGTCGTCCGCCTAATAACGGACATCGTCATCGTTACAACCCAATTCAAGCTAACGAGTCAAGAAAACTCACCGGTCAATCACTAAAAAGTGGTACACATACTCTACATCTGACCTCTTTGATCAAGTATAAAGTGATTCGGTTAGTCAACTTCGATGCATGTGAGTGTGTATGTAGGAACCGAGCTTCGAATCTCTTCACGCAACACTTCCACTCGAAATGGAAGTAAGCTCAACATCATTCGGTGGACATCATCAGAGCTGGGTCTCATTCCTCTTTAAGTCCCACGTTAACACTTGGCCAAAAAGCCTATCCGGCTCCATCTTAGCTCTTTTAGAGTCTCAATTAATCAAAATAAAATAAAATAAATTAATTTTTCTGTCAATCTGCATAAGCTTTTCTTCTCTCCTTAAGTCGTTTCTCATTCTCCGCTCCTTCTCTCCTTCAAATCTTCCAGCTCACTATCTCTCTCTTTTTCACACTTTTAGTGCTCTTCATCGCTCTTTCACTCTCCTCCTCCTTCTCTTCCGTCTTATCTCTCTCCTCTCTCTCTCTCTCTCTCTCTTTAAATTCGCACACTGCCCACTTGTCCTTCTCACACTTTTGCTCCTTTTCCACGTTTCCTGCATCTCCTTTGCCTCTTCTTTCCTCCATTTTCTCTTCCTCTGTCTCCTCTCTTTGCCTCAGTTTATGCTATTCCTGCCTCTCGCATCCCTTTTCCTTCTCGTTTCCTCACTTTCTTCTTTCTCCTTCCCACTCTCTGCACACTCACTTCACCCTCTCCACGCACAATCTCGTATTGCTGGCCCTAAAGGGCGGGTAGAATTGGTTTCGTGTTTGGAATGACGAGAAACAGTGTTCGTCTGGCAGAATTGCCTCGGAGAGACCATGCCGAAGAGCAGACATGATCACGCACAAATGCACACGTACACGCACACATACACAGTTGGCTTGAGCGTATTGTTGTTGTGCCGGTTCCGTTTGTCTCGGTTGTCCTCTGCGGCCTGTCTGGGAGAGAGTGCTGCGGTGACGATGAGGGCACCGAAAATGAGTGAACATGTGATCGACTCTCGTGGAAATGGGTTGACTGAACGAAATGCCGTCATGAAAGGCAACACGGCCGAAACGAGATTAATTCCGGTTGTCACGGCCGGAAGAAGTCATAGTCCATGACTACTCTTCGGTTACTTCATTTGGATCGTAGCAACGAGAAGATGATCTCTAACACGTCCATTCCGACAGAGGCTAATAGTTGATGTGGGGCAATCAACTTTTTCGAAGGTATAAAGACCAAGATGGTGTGGTTTTTTGTGTGGTCGCAGTCTCCTTTCGTTGAATGGAAGTTGGTTGACCTTGTCTTTCGCAACTCGGTCATGTTTGTAGGAAGACTTAAAGACAAGTCTCTTGTCTCTTTGACGAGTTGTTGTGTGGTGTTAAGAATAGCGATACTCG